TTCTTACGTTACACTGGTGATACGGTTCGATATATTTTTGTCTTTGTTCTATGATAGTGAAAGAGATTTGTAGTTGGGTTTGACGTAACAATTTTTTAGAAAATAACTTTTATCAAGGAAACGATACGCACGTATAGAGAAAATTCAATTTGGAATTAATTGCTATCGTGTCAGGTGAAATTCTATAAGCATTTATATTTTCACAATAAACAAATAACACCTAATCAGGCGATAATCACCTATGGACCATTAACTACATAATCATAACCCAGGTACTATATCTCAACTTCATGATAAATTCGGTTCATAAAGTTATTAACATGATCAGGTAACTCAATTCTGTTACATGCATAATACAAATATTTTCTTAAAAGTTAAACATTGTTTTGAAATAAAGAAAAATTCTTTATAACCAATCCTAATGATAACATCAAATCCTTATTTGAAAATAAACGTTTAAAAAACGAAAGAAAGTTTAATGTATTACAAAACAATATGAAATATCAAGTAAAATATATAAGTTTAATCTTCAAGTATGACAATATTAAAGTACGAAACTTTCATGCCGTATAGTAAAAATTTCGGAATACACTATGCCAAAGCCTTCTACATCGCACTTCTGAAGAGAAAAGGAAAACAAATTATAAAACGCAAAGCGTCGAAAAAAAAAAAAATAAACACACACAGGAAACGCCGCTACGCATTTATGCATCTCCCGTAGAAAATCCACGATAAATTCTCAGGTAATTAAAACTGCTCAATAGTGTCCAAACGTCTGCCGAAAGCGCCGAAAGTCCCGCGAGCGACTGTGTGACACGCACACACCAAGCAATGCGCGTTAATTGTTCGTCGGTCGTGAGTAAGATAGCGAAAGTTGCTCGAAGGCCGTTATGTCACGTTTTTGTCCGCAGGGGGTGGGACACGTATATACATATACGTTCGCGTATGCGCGCTCCTCGCAGTGGTGCACTCCAAGATTTCTCATTCACGGGGCAAAGACTTGGCGTTTTAGGCTCTTCCATGCGCTTTCGCGTTCGAGGAAAAAATAAAGACGGTCGTTGGTTTTACGGCTGCATGCTGTCGACTGCACGTGGATTAATTGCTCGGGGGAAAAATGCACTCATCTCCCTCTCCCTGTCTCTCTTTCTTTATTTGGTATTTATGATTCGGACTTTATGCCGCGCTCTTACGGCGATAAATTATTACGTAAAAGAACTCGAGGCCCACGGCATTCATTGTTTTCTTTTTAATAACTTCTTAATTGATTCCTTATTATTATTCGTAACGCGCACACGCTAAATCGATAAATTGCTCGACGTGCTATTTCTTTAATTCAACTGTCAGCTTTATCATATTTTCGCAGCAGCCCGTTGACGCCAGCAATTATACGACGTAAGACGTAATAGCAAATTAAGAATTGAGAAACGAGTCATGACGGATAATCCCAAAAGTCGATCATGCGAGGCAGATAAAAGCCCTGGCGTTTCGAATTTGGCCTGGCGCTGAATGGTTACTTTTTCGACTTCGTGACTCGGCAATCTAGGATGGGAATCTAAGCTAACCGTTTTATTGTTGCAACTGGAAGAAAGAAAAAAAAGAAAGAGAGAAGCAAATTGTATGCATCTTCTCGGAGGCGAAACCATCCCACAAATTTCTTCATACCCGTTTGAGCAACGTACGCCTTGTTAATCACTCGAGATTAATGACACTTTTATCGCTCCCGTATCTAATAGTCGGAGAGCTAATAACGAGTGGCGCCCTTGAACGATTGGACGTGCAATTACAGCCCTGTCCCAATTATCAACCGTCAGAATCGCGCATTTGGCATTGCTTGCCGAGGCAATAGGGAACAAATCGCGCAACGCCTCGTTCCACGTTTCCCTCTCGTAGCCGGCGGCCGCGAAACCCACAACACGTCGGTCCGCGACGAGAGAGCGAAGGAAGTGCGGCGGCGGCGGCGGCGGCGGCGGCGGCGGCGGTGGCGGCGGTGGCGCACATGGCGAGCGGCACGAAAAGGAAAGTGCGCGCGCAGCCTTTTCACTTTCCGAAGATACCCGGCGCTCGCCTCGACTTTTCCACACTTGGCTCGACGCTCCGGCGGATCCCGTTCCCGAGGATACTCGCGCCGAGTCGTCGCTCAGTGCCGTGGACAAGAGGAAATTCGCTCGGGCGATCGCGCCTCTTACAGGCGCACATTTTCTAAACGAGGAAACGCCTCGCTGGATGGGACTGACTCGAATCTGTTGAAAAATCATTGTTGCTCAATAAATGTCGTAGGCTGTATCGAGTTTCTCTATTAAATTTATGTGATACAGCGAGAAACGCTGATAGCTATTCTTGTTTTGCTTTACATTATTGTGTTATAAATAGAAATTTATAATACTCTTACAAAACCACTCAAGTTATTTCGGAAACAGTTGATGCGAAAAAGCAAATCGTTAAGGCGTCAATTGATTTTTGTCTCTCGATGTCTTTTTTTAACCCGAAGCTATAAGCTTCGCAGTTTATACGAAAACAGTTGTAAATAAAACCATAAGCATCGATCATCGCGACGATTCAATCGTTCGCCAAGATAAAAATGTTGCTGCAGACAACGCTGACAGTATCGAAATCCCGTATGCCTACAGAGAGGCAACGGCACACTGAGTCGAGATGGAGAATGGTCGTCGTCGATATAGCAATGAAAACGTGACGGAATGTGTGTACACTGAAAAAAAGGATGGGGGAGGGATCGCATCTGCTCGTCGTCGTCGTCGTCGTTGTCGTACGTGTCGCGAAGGAATAAGTCCGGTGATTTTGCTTTATGATGCGGCATTCGCCGTATCAACTTTTTCATCCCTTACGTAAGGCATTTTGATAAAATTAATCATCGAGACGTCGCAATGCATCATACGTTACATCGCGGAAAACGCTTCAGTTGTAAAAATATAAAAGTGAATTACGGAATCATTGTGCGCTTATTTTAGAATTATATATGCGCCAAAGACGATAAAAAGGTCCGTCGAGCTTCGCAACTTAATTATCTATTTGACCGAGACGAGAAAGAAGGAAAAAAACTTTCTTTCCTGCGACGAAACTCGCTGCAAGGAATCTCTGTTGAATTTCGTCCGGAAATTTCTATACACTCGCGATTCGTATCTCACACGAGGAGAGAGAAAGAGCATGACTAAGCTGAACACAAGTGTTGTATATGGGAAGTAGCCCATCTTAATTTGCGTTTTTATTTTTTTCCTTTTCACTCTCTTTATCGAAGATTGATGATAGACTGTCAGCCACCGTGCCTAATGACACGTAATGAATTTTCAGGAAAGTGGAGCAACCGTAAGCGCTATATTCCCATACGAATTCGCACAACAATATTTACCAATGAAACTCTCAAATGCTTATTTTGAAAGAGCCTGGTGCATAGGCTGTAATTCCTTAAACGTGAACGAGTGCTCTTGTGCACTTGCGACATTCGCAAAAGGAAAAAAAGAAAAAAATCATTGCAAAACTATAAATTTCCAGCAAAATTCTTCTCGCGCCTCGAACGCTCGTTTCTTCGGCAGAGCCGGGTAACGCGTTCGAAATCTAAATCACAATAGGCGAGCGGCGTAGCTTTTCAGAGCTGGTCTGTGCCGTTGCGCACAAAGATTCGCATTGGTGGCGATAGGCTCGTGCGTTATTTAAGCTCGCCGATGATATGATTTATCGGCTTTTAATGGTCGTTCCCACGGCGCGCCGAAAATCAGGCATAAATCCCGCCTGCGACCGCGCGGCACGCGACAGTTGAATGGATTTACAGTCTCGTTATAACGGGCGGGATCGATGTACGCGCGCGGGTGCGACGAGAAAACGCGCGAAGGAAATTTTGCGTGATCGTTTCGCGGGCAACCGCTCGCGTAACGCTTTCGCGCTCGCACATTTCGTCCGCGGTCGCCTCGGCGAGGACTCGAAACGTAACGAGCGTGCCGGCGTTCCGACGGTAACGACGGTCTAATTGTCGAGCGCGCACGCGTCGTTGTCTTCTCCAGACGTTTGGAGAGAAAGTACCGAACGCTCGAGACAAGGATACGAATCCTTCGTATTTGGATCCCGTAGACGGGAGATTCACCCTGTTTATCGCGCGAGTTGCGCAAGTCGAGTGCGCACGGATTATTCAATCGGTCAATATTAATTTAACAGGTATCGTCGCGTAAGTAAGAACAACGCGCTTACGTAAATAAGAATTACTGTAAAAAACGAAGAAAAAGACGGAGGTTTAATTGATCGAGTCGAGATTCGCGGGCCCGATAAATTTAGCGCGTTTAGAGTGACTCACGGAGATAGGCCAAACGGATAAAATTACAGATATGAGAAACGCCGGTGAAATGTAAAAATTGTTAATTGAATGGATTCCGCGCGAGCGCGACGAGCGTCATCCCGAAGGCCGCGCGCGCTGACTCACCGGATCTTCCACTTCCAAATATTCCGCGCGATCGCGCGAAATCGGACGCGAGGGCAGGTGAGAGATACGCGGACGACGGCTCGATCTCGCGGCGGTCGAGGATCGGCGAGCGCGCGCGACAAGTCCCTTGCGCCGGCGCCCGGCGAATCGCGCGCTGCCATCGGCAGGCTAACGACGACGCGCCCGGCTCGCCGTCGACGACTCGCGAGGCCGGACGAGCTAAGTGGAGCGAAGCGGATCTCGCGGATCGGCTAATCTGCCGGTCGGCGGCTGCGCTTTCTCTTCCTCGGGCCGCGCGTTATTGCCGATCGGGGAAGAAGTCGGCGAGGCCGAAAACCCGGCTGGCTGTGTCGACAAACGACGCGCGGCACGACGCGGCAAGAGAGCCGCGGGAGCGATCGGCATGGCGCGTGTCGGCGAAGGAGCACAAAGTCGGTCAGTAAAATCGGCAGAGCGGGAAAACATCTGTGTATGAAAAGGCACGGGGAGAGAGGAGGAGCGGAGGGTCGGGAGGGGAGAGGAGAGAGACGCGGGGAGAAACCGGCTGATTTTCAGTCTGCTGGCGTCCTTTCTCACGAGTTGTCGCTGATCTGCGCCAAGGCCGGGTCGGCGAGGAGAGAATATATCTCCTTCTCTCTGCCTCGCTTCGCTCGAGCTCCTCAGTCGATTTATACGTATATACGGGAGAGCAGCAACAGCGAATTCGTCGCGCGCCAGCCGCAGAGCAGAGAGAGAGAGAGAAAAGTTGTAAGCCGGATCTTTCTCTCTGTGCAGTTCTCGCGCAAGAGTATTTCCATCCGCACGCGCGCGCCGCCGGACTAGTAAATTTCCGAGCCGCAAGTGCATTGTGTGTCCGTGTACGTGTGAGTGCGTCGCGCAGCTCCGAACCCAAAGTGTTTCGACGTCCATTTGTTCCGTTTTTCCTGCACTTTACTCCGCTCTTATAAAGCTTCCAGACGATTTATTTGTGTCGCTGTGTTTCGCCCTTTTTTCCCTTGCTTTTGCTGTTGTCTCGCTTTTTTGGAGCTGTTTGGCATGGTGAGAATAATTTTCTTTGGCTTGTATCGGAATACGTTGCTTTGCCGAGCGCGACATTACTCACTGCAGTTTTACAAATCGCTGATAATATATTTCAACTTGACGACTGCTATAAGAGTGATAGTTAATAAAAGCTACTATCGCAAAAAAATATTGATAAACCACATTAACAATGGAGCGTAATCACTATTTAATTTGCTTATCTAGCTATTTCTACATACGCAATTAGAGTCAATCTTCTATTTATTTTATGTGTAGCTCTGACTGACTGAATGAAAAAAAAAGTAAAGCAAACTCCATCTAGTGGCAAACATATCTTTCATTTAATTAAACAACTAAAACTACGAGGTGATGCAGTTTCGTTAAAAATAATTCATTCAACACAGCATCCATTCAAAGGTGACTTGTCAAAAGCTCAAACTAAACAATTTACTGTAATTCCTGATGTAGCCCAGCGTAACTTTAGAGTGGCGTGACATTTTTGGATAACAATCTACATGGTCGGCACTCCGCCCTGTAACACGAAACTTGCTGCGAGAACTACAAAATTGTAAGTGCAACGTCTTTTCGTAGCGTCATTCAGCTGCGTTTGAAATACGCCCGCAGGAAAGAAAGTGACGCATGAAAGCTCGCCCGAGTTAATCGCGACATAGCTTTCGGTTATTCGCGTCCATCGAAAGTCGATGCTTTTTTCATCTTACATTCGTTTGTTTTTGCTCTCCCCACCACACATGCGCCAACCGACATTCACGCGCCATCGTTGAAAAAAGCAGGTACCGAATCGACGGGTGCCGCAACGAGAAAGTTACGCGCGCAATAATTGCGACGTACGGCGTCGCGCGAGAATTGCCGCGGCTAATCGCGCGCTACGCCGATGCATTACGCGCTCCTCGTTATGAATAACGAACGAAAGGGGCCGCTCGTCGGCGAGTCAAAGCGCGCCGCTCGTTTCGACTGCGCGCCGCTCGTTTCGACTGCGCGCTCGTCGTTTTTTTTTTGTTCTCTCTTCGTCGTCGTCGCGCGTACTTTTGCCGCGCGGATCGCGCATAATTACGTTCGTGACGAAAGCGGAAAGCATGCGCGGGCTATGACAGTTTCATCCTCGAGTCCTCGCATGTTTTACGGTATTCGTCGTTGGCTGCGATTGATTGCCGGCATTTTTGTCGATCCATCATTTCTTTTCTCCTTTTTTTCTTTGCAAATGGAGTAACTGTAAGCAATCGGAATTCGCAGATTGCTGCCGAAGAATGCGCGTGGACTCGCTCTGAGTAACGTCGGACGTCGAGCCGCTTCCGTTTCAGCGGCGCGCTAAGAGTCGAAGCAATTAACGGTGTATTTTGCGGCCGACGACGGCAGCGGGAAAGCGCAAGGGGGAGCATCCCCCTGACCCGCCTCCGAGCCTCGTTGGGGCGCGGCGAGCGCGTATCGCGTCGACACTTCATCGCTCAAGCTCCAGCTCCCTTGTCTTCGTTCTAACGTCGCGCTGCCACGGCTTTATCCGAGCGCCGAGTTGGCCAACCCAACCCCTCCTCCCCTCCCCCTCTCGCTCTCCTGCGTGCGCGGATCTCCCTGTAAATCAGTGCCGCCGCTCGCGAGGAGACTTTAACGCGACGTAGGCGAGAGGAGTCCCCCGTAGCCTATACGCGCGCTTTCAATCACCTCTCGTTTTATTCTAAAATTAGAGGCAGCCGTATCCTTTTGACTCACGGACTATCCGCGAGCGCGCGGCTTTTACGAGTGCGGATTTTACGAGCCAAGCTTTTTCTATTGTTCGATATCGCCGGCGCGGCGGCCTTTGACGATCGCTTTATTTATCGGGCCGTAATTGTTCATATCGCGCGACGACGGGTAAAACTGTCGCGCGGCCGAAGTGACGGATGCGGCGAACGCTCGGCGGGACACAGCCTTGCCGGCTAAATTGCGATTTTTTTTTTCGCGCTGGAATGCACGCGAATGGCCTGACAATGGACCCCCGCGAGATTTTCCCACGAAGGGAGACCAACCCGTTAAAGTTCGGACGGGAATGGAAATCTCGCGATGCGCGGTCGAGTAAAGGAAATTAATCGATCAGCGTATTATCGGACAACAGATTGTAATACATTCGCGTTGTCGCTATATAACTCGTCATTTGTCATGGTTTTTCGGCAGTTTAGCACACCAAGACGCTCGAATCGAGGCTTTTTATTTATAACGCTTCCTGTGACGATCAACAGGAGATAAATAGTTTTTTATTGAGATAAACCATATTGCACGCACTATTTAGTTCCAAATACGCGATTGGCCCTATCACAAAAATTAGCCAATACCTGTCAGCAGCAATTAGAAGATATGCCGACTACGTTTTCGATGTTAATTTTTCTCAAGTAGATCAGACACCCCTTCGTCAGCTCGCCATCGACATCCGCAATGTGAACGGAGTTGCGTTCTCCCTCTTGCGTTACCTGCCCAAACATGGCTTTAAACGCTCCAACGCGACATTTGGTTAGCGTCTATAGGTTGACTGTCATGTCGATGCCAAAGCTGCCGCTTTCCGAAAGTTCTTCCTGGTGTTTGCATGACGCTAAATTTTCATGGCTGCGAGCTGCTTAAGTCGTCGTTTCACCGAGAGAAAAGACGGACGTGGAGACGCGCGCGATCCTCACTTTCCGAGCTCAAGCCGTTTGGATACAGCTTCAGGCGCAGCTGCGTTAGTTGGCAAGGACGTTGCGTCGGGAGCAGCGGTCATGAGTAGCGACCGCCAGCGAAAAGCCGCTCGATTTTTCCGCGTGAAACTGTAAATGTTTTGGACGGTAAAAGCACTTCTTGACTTTCTCAACATCGTTCAGCTTGCACACGCAGTGTCGCGGAATGCGGCCAAGCGGTGATCGATCGTTGGACAATCCGCGTTTTTATCTTTCGTCCGCGCTTATAATAATACAGTGCACCAGATAATGCGCCATCGGCAGCTGCCGAGCGAAAATTCCAGACCGGTTCAGCTTGAATCTTGGCATTTGCCAATGACGCATGCGAGCGTCGATAGCAGCAAATACGCACGGCTACTTCGCACATCGATCAACTAGCCTCAAATCACGCACCACTGAAGCGACGGCTTATTATCGAGAAAACGTAACCGTTCTCCTGAACAATTGTCGCGTCAGCTAGCTTTGGAACGAATGCACGAAGAAGAAAACGTTCATCTAGAGGAAAATCAATTAGACAAAATTAAATCGCAAGATAAAGTATAAATATAGCTGAAGTCAGCTAATACCTAGAGCTGAGTAAAATAAAGTTTGTCATACATCATTGACCTGACCTACCGAGAAGTATAACTACGATAAAATATATCAGAATGGAGTTTCATCGATAATTCCTTGTGTATTTCACATATACGGTATTCCAGAATAAATTTGTGCGACTTGGTAAATTGTATAGATAAAAAGATTGTTTTGCATCATCTTTTGCATCGACAATCGTACATAACCTTGTACGTTCATTTGCATTTCGATTTCATTTTCACTATTAAAAACTAAGATGTAGAGAAGCATTATCCATACAATTACCATAAAATATAAGTATGCGATCTGATTACTACACTTAATTTCCTGGAAGTGATAATTTCTGGATTTTTAACTAGTGGCAACAAAAAAACAGTTCAAACATTCGAATGAAATCGTTTTAGGCCAAACAATACCTGTTCTTGTCTGCAGAAGCCTGCTGCCTTTTCTTAATTCTTCTTACGCTAGTTAACAATCTTCTGCAATAAGGAAAAGAAACATCAAACGCTTTGTGAACATGATAATTATATGATGTACACTAATGTCATTAATGTTTGCCAGTTAATCATACATTGATCTATAGGCGTGAAATAACTGAAAGCCACAATTTCAGCAAAAATATATCATCGTGCACATAAGTATACTTTACTTTTTATCGAATTACTTATTTTTAGATAAGTATAGTACTGAATGCATATATATACGAATACAAAAAAAACCAATTACAATGTAAAGACAAAAGTTCGCGACAATAAAGCACAAAGGAGGTTACGAAGTATTATGCGCGAAATGGCGGGAATGATCGCTTGTAATACTAATTGGCTACACTGTTACACTGCCAATTCGTGGTGCCATCATACGGAAGTCACAAGAAAACCTACGACGTCTCCTTGAATGTCGCGTTCTGATAAGAACATTGTTGTATTTTACTGCAGAAAAATATTGTGAAATAAGTAAAACAAAGAAAATTAAAAATATTCGAATATGTAGAAAATTAAAACATTGAAAAGCAATTTCAAATCAAAATCTAACTTTAAAAGGCAATCGTTTCCATTCAGATTAGTAGGAATTGTAAGCAATGACAATGTATAATCCGAATAGAATCAAGACATTGAGCAAGATTAGAATTATTTGTTTTATTATCAAACAAAAAATTATAAGATAATGTTTTTTCTTTTTAATTTAAATAATCATTATTTAAAGAAATGTTAATTTTATCCACGTTTTGCAATAATCTCATAGATTTCTTGTTTCAAATTGTCATTCAGCTCAGAAAATGTAGGCATTTTTACAATTTCTCTGTGATTGATAGCAATAAAATGGATAACTAATGGTTGTAGATTCCTTGCATCGCAAATGTCGGTCAGGTTTAAAATCTCCACGGCATTACCAACCGTGAGTTGTTTGAAGAGAATGCTTTCGCACTTTTCTTTCAATTTAAGGATTTGATACTTATTGGCTGCATAAAGAAGATCGCCAACTATGCTATCCAGATTTCTCACATTTTCCGTATAGATGAACTGGAACAATGCTTTCATTATCTTGTAATTAATATCAAAAATATCAACTATGTTCTGTTGTTTCTCTTTCATATCATGTGTAAACATTGCTTCGAAAACTGGACTCTGACTTGATAAAATGCTTTTATTTACTTTGATTTTTTTACCTTGCATATTGAAAGTCACGTCGGGAAGATTATCTGCCTGCATGAATCGTTCACATTCATCAAACTCGCTTGCCATTTTTCTTAGCCAATCGTAGTGATAAGTGATGACACTTTTTGTAAAATCTTGGTCTGGTTAGAACACTATGATATTACGTGATACTGTTAAATAATGTATTTTCGATCAGGTAACCCTTTTCTTTATCTGTGAAAATATTTCACTCTGTGAATTATGTTCAACTCGATTTGGATAAACAAAGCTCAAATAAAGGTGTGTTGTTCCGTTTTACAATTAGACTATGTTTTCTACTTATTATTGAAAATTCATAGTCTAGTTTCCGTTGGATATTACGTTTAGAGTTGACGATAAGATACAACACGAATTCTCTGTCAAATTTACACTTCGGGTATAAGATAAAACACCACTCGCTTACTTTATTATTGTAATGTTGATTGTGTCAAAGTTTTAAAATACATACTCGTTTAGGCTATGATGACCAACTTAGAAATCTTTAATTGTCCAATTAATTTTGAGTGTTTCTTGATGTAAAATATCATCTTTATTTCAATAATAAGTCATGAAATATGACGTAATACGTCAGGCCTTCCAAGTCAACAATCTATTTCCTACTTCAAATTTTGTTTACCACTCGATAGTTAACTGCGAGGTTGACTGCTAACATACCTAGCTATTAGTTAGGTTAAGATATTAGCTAGTAATTATTAATATGCTTTGGACGAGCCAAGCGCCAATCGCCAGCACGGCCACGCTACGGCCTACGAACATCCTCCTACGGAAGCTCGGTGGTGCCATAGGGTGACCGATTCAGTTTCCAAACAAGTCGAACGCATGATTCAGACAACCCACTGGTTTTCCAACAAATCTTTAAAGTGTGGAAAAAGTTGTTAACAAGATAACTTTAAAGTTTTTATTATTTATAATAATAAAGTTTATTTGTATGCTATAAATCAGATAAACAATCTGTTCATGATATTTTTTCCTTCAGGTATGGCTTATAAAGATTATATGAAATATATATATATAATCAAATACATATACAGACATACAGAAAACTTATAAATATTGCGAGTTATATTATTTTCGATTACTTAAAAATTACCATTCTTCAAATAATTACGTTATCTGGATAAAATTTTGAGGTTCTAAAATCTTACAAAGAACAACTTCTGCTATAGGCTCAGCTTGCGACTAAAGCTTTGTTGAAAGCCCAGTGGGTTTCCAAATTATGCAGCGACTTTTGTTTGGATTCTTGGAAACCGAGTCGGTGACCCAATGGCACCACCAGGCTTCTGTCTTCTGTATCCGCCATGCTGGCCCCATACCGTATTCGTAAATATATAGCGCTGAGCTCAGCCATGGCGTGTAAAATTTTATAATCTTTTGGTCAAGACCAGTCGAATTACGCGCAGGTGGCGTTCAAATCGATAAATAGGTGGTGTACGACGCGACTACGTATAAATGTACTAATTTAAAAAAAAATTGATTTTACATCGCACAACGCGGCATACACTGCTGACAGTTTGAGCCGTAGTACTATCCTCGCTGCTAACATACGTTTAAGGCCGCTATATCGAGAAACAGTACGACTACCGTATGGCTACGTTCGACTTATTTCATACACTTTTCCAGTGGATCTCTTGGCATGCGGAAAAGTTGCACGTGCTACTTGAGAGGAAACTGGGCCGTACCTCTTACGGGTTTGACACCCGGGGCAAAGCCAAGGCAACCTACCCGTGAGGGGATCGTTCACTTTTCTCCCGCGTTGCGCAATGTACTATTACGTAATTAGCTAAGACTCGAGAGTAACGCCCTGAACGTCTGTTCATAATGACAAATAAACATTAATACCCGTTTATCTTCATATTGGAATACAGAATTTATGGTAGCTGATATTCGTGTTCCGTATTAGTGGTTACAAAAGAGCTAAAAATAACAAAGAAAATGTGAAAAATAAATTAGCCATAATTTGCTAATCAAAACTCGTGAAATAAAATAATTTTGTTCAGCCGTGTACGTCTGAAAAAAAGAATGACGTTGATCGGAGATCACAACAAGAAACTTTTCCGCGGATAGACGGTTGTGTCTCTGTTGCAAAACCTTTAAAACGGCACATGCTATTATATCCAGCCGCGTAAGCCGTACAATTAAACTATATCCATCGCCGATCGGCATCAGTCAAAACGTTGAGGCCACAGGCAATTATGTAGCGCGCGAGTGTCAAAACGCGAAAGAAAGAGCGATCGAAAAACCAAGGCGAGCAGTCCGTTGAACAGCGGCGTGTCCGAGGCACGCTAGGTGCTCGTATATCCGAAACGCGCGTCGGACGTTTCGCAAGTTGCGCCGCTTACATCCGGGATCTCGCGGATCTAATCCGATGGAGTTGGCCTACTTGAGAAGCCGCCCCGCCACCGTGTCCACGCGAGAGGCACACGGTGCACACGCGCTCGCGCGCACTTTCCTAGCTCTGGCCATTGTTTATGGGCCGAGCGGGCCCCGATTGATTTCCTATGCCGCGGAGACACATTTCACCTCCGCTTGCGTTCCGCTTCGACGCCCGGACATATCTTGCACACATCGGTAACAAAACCCCGATGAATGATAGCGCTGCTCTCGCCGGCTGGATTTATCGCCATACATACCTATATTTGCAAGCTGCTCGTTCTCCGGTGCTGAATTATCGGCGCGTGTTACCCTTTTTGCAGACAATTGCTTTTTTTTTCGTTATTTGCCTCGTAAAATACCCAGTGCCAAAGGTCTTAAATATCGCTTGAATTGCAATATCGGCATTTTTTAAATACAATCAACAGATGCTACACTGACGCGCGCCAAGCATTATTTGGTTAATTTTGAATTTGCCGTAGTGCCGTAACTTTCTTATTATTCATTTGCTATTTTTAATAAACTTTGGACACTCACAATGATTGTACGTATTGCTCATCAGAGATCTATTAATCAAAAAGTGTTATGACTTATTCTATACCCGATAATCTTATGGCACATTTGCACTGGTCGACATAATTTGATGCATCACACTACTGTGCACAACTGCACATTCGGGCTTTCTTACGACGTCTTTGTGATGCGCAGCAATGTACTGAATAATTAGACTCTTCGGATGGATTGTGTGGCACATGTCAGCCAGTTTGAAATACTCAATGGTCGTGAGCTTATTGTAGAGAGTCTTTCTCGCACAACGCTATCAATTCAATCACTTGATATTTGTCAGCAGCAATTAGAAGTAGACTGACTATTTCCCCGATCTTCTTCACTTTTCTCGAGTAGATGAACGATTCGTTCATTACTCGGTAGACAACGTCGGTAAATCTTCCGCTCTCTACCGATTGCTCATCGGATCTCTCCCCATTCTACCGAGCCACTAGTTACAGACGCGAACGTTTTTTGTGATATGTGATTTCATATGATATATGTAACGTATCGTCGATCAAGTCTGCCATAAGGTTTTGCTCTATGAAATTCGCCCAACTTCAATTGCATAGCAGGGCTTTGAATGTAACTGTGTTGTTCCAATTTACAATTGATTTATTTTTTTTTATTCATTATTGAAATTGCGTAATCGTCTTGTCTCGCCTTCTTTCTCTTCGTCTCTCGGATACACTTTTAAAAACCATTCTGTCGCCGGGTCAGCGGTTTTTATAGAAAACTTGGCAATACAAGTCTCCGGTCTTTCGGCAATTACAAAAAAGAATCGTTTGATTTCTCACACTAGAAACTAGATCCGTTTTTGGCTTTATTATATTTTCCAATGTGCTCGGCATCAACGCGAGCATTCAGCACTCGTAAAATATTATATAAGATACGTTGCCAACTGAATTTGCAATAAATCGTTTGACTTCGCGTTTTATCTGCTCGTTTCGCTAATTTCCAGCACTGCACTGTTTCATCAGCAGTTGTAGCCGAACGAAAATTGTAGAGGCGTGATCTATAAAATCTTACTTTCTCCAGTGATACGTTCTTTGGAACAGGAGAGATAATTAAAAGCTTAAGTTGGCATAAATTTATGATTTTGTATACGTATATTAGTTATTCAGTTTGATTAGCTATACGTCAGCGCGCCTTCCGTGTCTTATTATTTAGTAGGTTAGGTTCAAAGGAATCCCAAATGCCTTAGAACGCAAAATACAAATTAATGATACATTTCGCTTATCGATCGAGAAGAAAATGCGTGAATTTTCTTTCGCGGCAAGATCACATTTATCCCTGTCAATAGCGCGTTCCACAAATAGTGCAGGGAAACGCTCTATTCAGGCACGAAATCAGATGTTCACGGCACGTATAACAGTTTCAGTACATTTATTTGACACGTGGAACTTTGAAAATTGGGAAGATATAATCTTTATAGATTTAGTATGAAAGCCTTCGAATGCAATTGATTTTGATAAATTAAGTTGGATAAAGAACAAAAAAGATCATTGAAGGAGTAACATATTTCATTAAAACTATTGTATAAAAAAGAATCATAAATGCCAGTTATATTGAAGATAGGAAGTTTTTATTGACTTTTATTTGACTTTTCAAATGCATTACAATGTAAATACAAACGAATCCAGAGCTTTATTGCAACGATATGTTAGCAACTTTGTTGAAAGATTTGCAATAATTTTTTCGCGTATTGCTTGCGATTTGAGTGCTTTTCCATTCAGTGCCAAGCGTTATTGACTATATAGATTATTGGTTAGCTGTATTATCGTACGATTTACCGCTTTCTGAGTCTTTCCAACGAATAAATAGTTATATCCGTCGGTAAGACGCAGAACAAAGCGTCACAACGTCTATATATTCGTTGGTCTTACAATGTCCATATACCGTCCGATATTACACACCGGAATGAATGAAAAGTGAAGGGACGAGCAACGTTCATAGAGCTGAGCACAGCAAAGGCTCGTATACGCAGAGACAATGCACACTTACGATGGACCTAAATTTGGTTTTGCAATAGAACGTTATCATTTTGTACGTATTCGGTCTCGCAGCTTCGATGCGGCTCGATCGACCACTGCATCTCGCGCGCGCGAGGCTGCGGCTGGCTTCGCGTTGCCGGGACGATCGCTGGGCGCCGAACGATGAAAGCCCTCGAATGTTCGAATGCTGCTGCAGTACGGCTGCCCAAAGATTTCTAACAGTTCAAGTGGAAATACGACGTTCGGACGATATGCATAACTGTACAGTAATGAAAAATCTTCGTTCAAATCCATCGAATCAGTTCCATAATTATTTTACATATATTTCATACGAAGAACTGCCACGAAATTTATCTGTATTACGCGGAGCTTGCGATATATCTTTTGAAATGGAAAGAGGAATACTAATGTAGGTTCGGCTAATTATTTGCGACTGTTTGTTTACAAGTTCTAAGTAGTTCGTATATCACGTACTTTTCGAAGTCCAGATAGTGATCAACAATGAATTCAATAACCAGACTTCTCAGACTTATCGTATTGAGCGCTTCTGCCACGCGTAAATATCCGACAGCGTTCTCATAGCTGCGATCCCCTCGTAGCTCAACTTTTCGCACAGCGTCTTCGATGGCACGACTCGATATTTATTGGCCGCGATCAGAATATCGACGACTGATTCGTCGATGACGTTCATTTTCTTGATCTTTCGTGAGCTCTCGGTGGACGTCGGTAACGTCGACGCGCTAAAACACAGCTTTGAACATCGGACTTCCGCGTTGAACGTTATGAATCTGCCGCTCTCCAGCAGCTCCTCGTGCGCAGCAAGCCCATCGTCAATTTTATTTTTACGGTCGTTGTGAGATGAAATAGGATTTCACAGGTTACCGTCTGGGTATCATCGACTAAGTTTTGCCGCGATGACGTCAAAGACTCCAAAGGGAAACCTCGACGCAAGAGTCGGACGCGTGATTGTTTATCAAAGTTGTTTATTGCGCCAAAGACATATTCACATAGAGCTATTATTTGCAGGTAAATGTAAATGACGTTTTGAAATTGAAATTGCAAAAATGACAGATGCATTGGAATAGAAGCACAAGTCAATACAATACGTTATTATACAAAGTTGATCGTTAATTTCTTTTTGGAATAGCCATTATTATTTCGTGCATCAAGGAGTTGTTCAGGTCCACGAATGCAGGCTTTCTCGCGATCTCTGCGTGATGAGCACCGATGAACTCGATCGTTAACGGTTTGAGGTTGATCGTATTGTATTTATCAGTTAGTATCAGATAGTCGATTGCGTTGTCGATCGAGATTCTCTCGTAAAGGAATTTCTCGCACAGGGCCTTCAGTTCGACTACGTCATACTTGTCGGCAGCGGCTAGAAGCTGGGTGGCTAATTGCTCGATGTTCTTCACCTTGTTGGCGTAGATGAACCGGAAAAACTCTATCATGACCTCGTAAGCGATGTCCGAGACGAAAATAACTTCGTGGCCGTCGTTGATCTCGTCCTCGTTTTTGAACATCTTCGCGAGGATCGGACTTCGGTACGACAGAATGGCCTTGTGTACCGGGATGGTGTTGTCCTGCACGTGGAAAATCGCGTCGGTGAAGCGCTTACTCTCGAAGAGCCGCTCGTAATGATCGCAGCCGGGGCCGATCTTGTTGATGTACTCGTCGTAGCCGTAGTAGCGCTCGACCTCCGGATTCAGCCTGATCTCGCACAACAGCACCGCCCTGTCGTTGATCAGGCAATTGTTCTCCGGGTTCTTCAGCTCGGCCAGAGTCAACAACTCGTAGGCGCCCCAGTTGTACTTGGGACCTTGGAACGTAAGCTGGGACTCGATGACTCCGTGCGACATCTCGTCGCCGCTGATTATCGACAATCGGGCCTTCACCTTCACCTCGGTGCTCGCGTCGCACGTACAGTGTAGGAATAGCGACACGCTGTCATCGAACTGCTCGTTCACGCCCAGCGGGTGCACCGTTAGATGCCACTTGGTCACTTGGTTGGCGAACGTGATGGGGAACACCGGCGACACGTAATACTCTCCCGTGTTTTTACAGTCGGCGAGAAACCGATCGATCGTCCACTTGACCGAGTACATCCGCACCTTCTCCAGAGAGCCCTTCTCCTGCACCAGCACTTGAACGACATTTCGGCTCATATCTCGTTGTCCAACCGCGGCGCTCGACACTCCAATAGGCCAACGTCGTCGTCCGTAGCCAAGCCAACAAATTTGCGCCCGAGGATCACCGTTCGCCTTGATAGTAAGACAACTGCGACTCAAGCTCAAGAGATGTTTACTACGTGGAGATTAGTGGCTTAGTGAGTCCCTCTATTCTGCGAACTCCGGTAAATAATCACCGCGACGTATTGCCAACCTCGATCTGAAATGCCGGATCTGACGCTCGGCAAATGTACTAATCAGCTTGGCACTCGTTAGCCTTCGCTACGTATCCCCTTTGTAAGCCTCGTATGCGTGACTTTGCCCAATGACAGAAGTCCTCGTTACGGGCGAGCAACGACCGTTTGTTCGTTACGGCGACATCGTCCAACTTCAACTTCTGTTAGCATTGCAACTTCGTACCCTGACCGTTACATGTTTTCATCCAGTAGCGCCACGGTGAATCATTTCTTTGTCGGTATTCTTCACCGAGGCAAGAGCAGTACAACCATAATCGCAGCACAGTATACAATCGTAACGAACTTTAGGAAATGGACAATTTAGAAATATTTCAAATGCTTACAATTTTCGTATTCAATTTTTACGATAAATTCCAATTATTTACGCATTTTCCTGATATTTCTTATGAATTGTTTAAATGTTTCGCGGGGTTTTCAAATGATTTTCAACACTACTATTTTCTGCCACAGTGCGCTTACGTTTTCGTCTTCGTTAATGCTACCGTGGATATTGCTTTTCTATGGAAACATTCGAAATTAATAAATAGGATCTTCGTTAAACGATCGATCGACGAAACTAATTTTCTATAATTTTCTATTCGAAGCGATCGCGATTTTGACCGCAGTAATATATTTCGTGAGTAGCTTTGGTAGAATGTTTGTTTAACATACCGAGAATTTTAAGCTTCAATACAAAATTCAGTACACACCCGAGAGAATATGTCATTTATAGAATTGAAAAACAAAATTCAAACATTTACATTTATATTGTATTTATATAACATCATTAAAAATTAAATGACTAACAATAAGATACAACAAATGTATTTTCAATATGAATACAAATTAATACAATACATTGTTACGACGAAGTCAGTACCTTTGATAACGCAACAAAAAAAAATTTTTATATTTAATCTCGACAATTTTATTTTTACAACTAGCAAAATTTGGTGTTTTATCTTATTACATAGATTTGCTAATTCAGACTTCCTTACAGCATTCTTATGACGTGCAGCAATGAATTTGATGACCAGCTCTCTCGGATCAATCATGTTGAACAATTTGTCGAGTTTCAATTTTCGATGGTATTATCAGTTGTAAATGTTTCGTATAGTTTTTGCGCACAGTGCTTATAATTCTATAACCTATTACTTTTTAGCTGCCATTAGGTCGCCAGCTAATTGTTCGATGTTTTTATCTTGTTCCACGTAGTTAAATCGGAATGATTCCATCATAGTCTCGTAATCGATACCTGTAATGTGCACACGATTTCGTTTCTTCTTTTTCATTTCGTATATTCAAACATAGCTTTTGTGATTACTGGAACGACACGACAGAATAGCCTAGCGTGAGTTTATCTTTTTATCCTGTACAATGAATGTTACAATACCGCTCTCTAAAATTTGTTCGCAATCGCAGCTAAATCCAGCTCTAATTTTATTTTATAGCCAATTTGCTGTAAGCAATGAAACTTTTAGCAAAAACTTTTGTTTCTAGTGCAACTTTACACAATATCGTCAAGGTATCGTTCGTTAAGACTTTATTGTTTGTATCATTGATTTCTAGGCTTTCTCCAATCCCATCTGCCCGCCAGATTCTCAAAATTTAATTACATAACCTAGTTTTATATCATGCAAGTAATAAATTTTGTTCCCTACTTATTGAACATTGAATATAGCCATCGTTGTGTTTATCTTACAATTAGTTTTACTGAGAAAAGACAAATAGCGAAACGCGTAACTGTTATTGTCTTCATTAAAACCGTTTAGATATATCTTCAAGCGCTATTTTATTACTTAATTAGGATATTGTATTTAGAACAAGAAATGAACCATTGAGCCAAGAGCACCATTTCAAATCAAAGTTGAAATTTCATATATTTTCGAAAAAACGAAAGTTTTATTGAATGTTTTTTATATATTTCAATCATTTCTGCAAGAAAAATATATAATAGAGTTATTAGATATTTGTTTATTTGTTTTAATTACTATAAACTGATGTATACTTAATCATATTTTATTGAATCACGATTTATAAATTTTAATAATTTTTAATAACTATAATGGGTAATAAAAAATATGATAATGTTGTTGCGTAATGTAATCGACCTACCATCATTTTTTTAAATAATTTTTTATACATTTTAACAAAGAATGAATGAAAAACACGTTCAATTATATTTCATTGAGAGCATCCTTTATTTAATATTCCAATTACAAACATATAAAAGATCTACTCAATTCAATTTAATTGAATTAATTTTTATGATTTAAAAAAAATTTATTCGATTGAATTCAATTGAGACCTTTTACCTGCTTGTAAACGATATATATATATGGTCGACCAATCCAAATGCTTTGTTGTATATTTTATATTTCATTTTTATATCACATTCAATTGCGGTCGAGAAAAATTCGCCGAGACCAAATTAGGTGTAATGCATCATACACAAGCATTAATCGAAATGACTTACATCATCAGGAAAATAGATGAATGCCTAATGATTTGGACCGGGAAATAAATAAAAGTTTTATTGCCTATAGCATTCATATTTATGATCTGAAATGGCTAGAAGTTTTTTTGTTTTTGGTTTTTCTTTCTTTGACGTAAACTATCATAAAAATCGATGCTAAGATCGAATGACCGTCCTAGGCAAGGAAATTATTATTTTTAAAAAGGAAATTATTATTTTAAAATAAGTAATATTCATTTATTTTTTAAAAATAAATAAATATTATTATTAATTAAATAAATATTATTTATTTTTAAAAACGGAAAGAAAAATCTGCTAAATATACTATTTAATTTTTTGTTTTACTATTGGTTCACGGTTGTAATAAGCGAATTTTCAAAAAAAAAATCTTACGTAGCTGAATAGCGGCGGAATCATTATATAATATTTTATCGTAATAATCTATCGATTTATAGTGTTTATTGCTTACTTTATTTATTCGAAGCTGAACTTTCGCATGGAGCAGTTCAATTAATTTCTATATCGAGCTTTTTATTTTTAAGTTAGTATGAATAAAAATCAATCAATTCATATTCAATTGATGCTGCAATAACTTTTCATGAGCGTTATAACGTATATAAACGTATATAAACGATAAAAACGTTATAAAAATACGTCTTCATCTTTTATTGAAATATCATTGCTCCTTCCTCCTCCTCTCGAGTCAAATCTAAAGCACAATTAAAACACGATAGTACACAGCGAAATAATGTACGGCAAAGTTATAATCTCAAATAATTCACATTCATACACGCAGACGACAGAAAATTTCTTGGCTAACAATAGGTCGACTGTGTTAACTACATTAAAGAGTAAACAAATTAGTTTCGTTTCTCTGCAACTTGAACTACACGACAAATTATATAATACGCTGCAACTTTTCACTATAAATCCTCATTTCTTTTTAGTGATTTTAATCGAATTATCAAAATGTACTTGCATTATTTATACAAAATCAAATTATGGGCATGCAAATTTTCCAATTAGACTAAGGACCAAAATAATTGGGCTTCTTGTACGTCATTAGACCGATGATGAGACAGTTAATTGCGTAGGCAGATGTATTCGAGTTAATACGTTCAGAGGGTGCTCAATCAGTAAATAGGTGATATTAATGTCATGCTGAAAAAGTTCCATTGGGGTAATTTCATCGATTAAGAATTCGAAAAGACCACCTTACAACGTGAAGCCAGCTTATTCGTGATCTGATTGGCTCATAGAAGATAGTTATGTGATCAATTGCTATGTGGTTGTTTATATACATTGTGTACGCTCATGAAAAGTTACTGCAGCATTAATTAAATATGAATTGATTGATTTTCATTTATACTAACTTAAAAATAAAAACCAAAATATCTGGAAATAACATTTTACGAATCTAGATGGCCGATCTATTTACAACATCCTCAGTCGTGAGCTGAGAGTAAAGCGTCTTCTCGCACAGCGCTTTCAAGCCAATAACCTGATACTTGTCGGCCGCCATCAGCAGGTCAGCAGTTATATCTCCGATGTTTCGCACTTCTCCCGTGTAGATGAATCGAAACAGTTCTTTCATAATGTCGTGGTCGATATCGCAAATTTCGACCTTGTTCTCCTGACTTTCTTTAAGGTCATACTTGAACATAGCACTAAGAATTAGAATGTTTTTTGTGCAGCTGAATTGATATTAAATGTTGCATCAACGTTGGTTTCGTTCTCGAATAATGGTCTGTAGTTGTTAGAATCATTTTTAAATTCATCTATCAGTTGTTTGGATCGGCGTTTGGCGACAGGAGAATGAATGAATGTTTAGGTGCGTAGGGTGAAATAAATAAATGTAACACACTGGTAATAGATAAATATTACTATAATAATGAGTCGAAGTAGGTGTGATGTGCGCAGGCGAGCACTACAAGGTATCGCGAGTGACGCGCGCGGGTACAAAAAGAGTGTAGCGAGACGAGGGGTTGTGTCGTTCTGGTCATTCGCGGGGGTGCAAGGATGCACCACCGAGCCAGGCTTTGCTTCTCTCTCTCTCTCTCTCTCTCCGAGAACATTAATTGCTTTTGCTCGTCGGAGAGGAAAAAGAAAAAGCGGAAATATGGTGGGAAAAGGGCGCGCGCGCGGGCCTGCTAAAAAAGGGCCCAGCCGAAAAGGTTCGGCCGTCGTTTATTGGTTTATTGTTCTACGTGCTCAATGAGCTGATCGCTTATTGGACACCATAAAAACTAAATCATAAATCAACAGCCGAGAAGAACTGAGAGGAAGGTTGAGGAACATGTGCGGTGCAGATTTTGGAAAAGTCTGCGACCCCACAAGTTCATCATAGCTGTGAAAGGCATCAAGGATTTCTGGTTATATAGACTCGAGGGTGACTTTGCACATTACTGTTAGCGCGTCGTCGACTAAAAGACCATTTTTCGGATCCTTGATAGTAGCCCTATCAATGAAATTACTCCAACCCCACGCCTCGTAAGGAGACTTGAGCTCGTCCCTACCTTTCGA